GGGGCTGTTGTGTACCCGCTGAGCTGTGTGTGCCCGCAGGGGCTGTTGTGTACCCGCTGAGCTGTGTGTGCCCGCAGGGGCTGTTGTGTACCCGCTGAGCTGTGTGTGCCCACTGGGGCTGTTGTGTACCCGCTGAGCTGTGTGTGCCCGCAGGGGCTGTTGTGTACCCGCTGAGCTGTGTGTGCCCGCAGGACGGCACGGCGCGGGTGACCTGCATGGCCTGGTCCGCTAGCAGTGCCCGGTTCGCCGTGTGCACCGCGGAGCGGGTGGTGCTGCTCTACGACGAGCAAGGCGAGCGACGCGACAAGTTCTCCACCAAACCGGCTGACGCCAAGGTGAGCGGGGCCGAGCCGGGTCAGGGCCGGGGCATGGGTCGGCAGCGCTGGGGCAGTCGACCTTCCTGCGTTCACACAGAGCCTCTCTGCAGTACGGCAGGAAGAGCTACGTGGTCAAAGGCATGGCCTTCTCCCCGGACTCCACCAAACTGGCTATCGGGCAAACGGACAACATTGTCTACGTGTACAGGATCGGCGAGGAGTGGTGAGTTTGTGGTGGGGTCCAGCATGCTCCATTCCGCCTGCCATGGGCTCACTTAGCCTGATCCTCACCCTGGCACACACTGCAGCAGCAATCACCTGCCCCACAGGGAGTCACTTGGGTGTCCGTGGGGAGCAGCAGGTTAAGTTTCCTCAGCAGGACCTTTGTGTGGAGCCCTGACTGTTGATGCAGCTAGCTGGAGCCCATGGTGCCATCCTGTGTCACAGTTTTGGAGCCATGGCACACACCTGCCCCATTGCAGCCTCATTTGGTGGCATGAGTTATGCTAAATACACTCAGAAAGGCTGTTCTGAATTTTGAAAGCTCAGAAGTTGGGGGTCTTTATTTGATTTTTTGTCTAAAGTTGTGGTAGACAAGCAGCATGCTAAACTTAAGTGGCCTGTTGGGCAATACCAAACCAGACTGCATACAAACAATACGGTGATCAGAGTGTGCGGTGTTACCAGATTTGCTGATAGTAATTTTTGTTTACATTTTCCTGCAGGGGTGACAAGAAGGTTATATGCAACAAGTTCATCCAAACGGTGAGATGCAGACTTCTGTCTGATTCCATTTTCTCCAGCATATGTAGGAAAAGACAGTGAGAGGTCTCTCTGCTCATACTCAGAGGTGTATTTGGCCCAACCTGTACTTGATCTTTAAAGATCCTAAGAGAATCTCTAAATTCTGAGGCATGTATTGCTCATCAAGCTTCAGAGGTCTCCTAATGACTGGGTACAATACAATAGTTAATTGCTGAACAATCAGTGCAGTCACTTACAAAACTTTGGGGACTGCTTTAGGCATCAGTGGACAGAATATTTTAAGGGAGTTGCAAGGGAAAAATACCAAAGACTCAGAGCCCAACTGTTTTTTTGTAGGTTGGTAACCTAAACTCTGAGATTCCTTATTAAAAAAATTGTAATATGTGCAGAATTCAAACTGTGCAATTTCCACATACTCAGATGCCTCCAGTTTGTGATTTCAGTCAGGTTTGCCCCTTGGCTACCTTTGTGTTCTACTGCTCTGGCCCTGCCTGCCTGTATCAGAGAGCAATTTGCCCAGTAGTTTGCCAAGGGTTGCCCTCAAATCTGTCTGGAAAAGGCAAAGATGTTACGAATTCCTTACACATAAAGCCACTGGAGTGGAGAAAATAGTAGTTGTGAGAATTTCTACCTTCAGAGGCAAAAGTCCCGTAGCTTCCCAAGGCTTTTGAGGCAAAGGCCTTCACACAAAGACCCCCATGGTCTCTGTGTCACTAAGAAAGTTTCTGGATGGCAGGAGGAATCATCCTCCATGGACAAATCCCCAGAAGACAAAACTGCTCCTGATGGAGTTGCTGGAGTCTTTGTGCCAGGCTTTCTCAAGCTGTCTCTTAGGTGAAGGGCAGCCTCAGCCCCTGGGTCAAAAGCTTGAATCTCAGAGTTGGGCCATGGACTACCACTGTGGCTGCTCTGACTGCTCCCTTCTGGCTGCTGGAGGGGAGCCCAGGGAATTCTGTGGCTCTGGCAATAGGAAAGCTGCTGGTCAGCTTCTGGTTTTCTGTTGACCTGCTGCACTGAGTAGTCATGAGGAAAAGAGAGCAACAGGAGCTTGGAGTCCATTTGTCCCTTTTCTGGACAGGGTGGCTATGCCACATTTAGGCACCTGTAGTCTCCCTGGAGAGCCCTTTCCTTGTGTACTGCTTGTTGCCTGCCCCTCCAGCTGCCAGCCTGGTGGGGGCTTGCTTACCTTTCACAAGCTCAGATGCTGTGCACAGCATGTGTACAGAATTTTGCATTTTTAATGTAGAAATTCAGTATTTTTTTTGCTCATTCTCTCATTTCCCCATGAGAAACCATTCTACCATTCATAACACAATAAATCTTTTTTTTTTTTTCCTGGTGCTCTCTGTGTGGGGTTTTACTGCTGTATCTGGCTTTCCTCTGTAACTAAATCTTGTTATTTACGAATAAATATGTCAGTATGAGAGATCATTTTTTTAGCCCACTCCTTCTCCTGTCACTGTGCACTCTTACACATCCAGTAATCACAGCGTGGGATCACCTGGTAAGCCAAACCTTCTGTTTGAGGGCCAGGAGGACAAACAGTGGGTACATCACCACTGTGTGAGGCTTGTTCCCAGGCTTTTGTTGTCTAGGACTGAAAATAACAGTTTGGCAGATAATGAGGGAAGTAGGCTAGTTTGTGGGAAACAGGGGTAATGAAAATGGATCTTGGGCATTGGTTGGGCCTTTAAATTATGAACTGATTGGTTACTTTGGGACATTTTGCTGCCTGATCATAGCTGTGTTTGCTGATACAAATGATCAGAGTGGGGATAGAAGATRAGGTGGGAAAATTAGGGTGTATATGTATTTAAAGCAGCCCCAGATGCTTAATATAGGACCAAGGAGCCAGTGAGGCTGGTGCTGGTGGCATAGTGCCAAATACCAGCCTTCTTACTCACCAGAGTTCTGCAGGGTAGATATGGAGGGCTTTCGTAAAGTTTCTTGGCCCTCTCTTACAGCTGGGTTTTGTGGTCAGCTTTATTCATCCTGACTCCACCTCAGATTCTGAGAATACCTTTGGTTTGGATTTAATGAGCCTRTTTCTACCTGACCTACTTAGTAGCATCTAATAACCAACCATCTTGCTCATCAGTGAAAATGTAAAGACGTATTTCCGATTCATCAAATGAAGATCCAGTATACGAGCATTCTCATAGCTGCTACAGAAGTTGGCACAGTCAAATTATGTTTATATTTTATTTTATACTTGTTGCAAAAGACCTTTTAAAACAGCCATGATTTTATACATTCACCAATAGCATGTGGCAAGCCAAGCACCTGCTCAGTAAGTAGTACTCTCAGAAGAGCTCCAAACCAAACACATCCATATAACTTTGTTGCCCTCCCTCCCGTAGTCCTCCTGACCTCAATTACTTTGCCTCAGCTCCCTATTATCTAGTTCAAGCTTCAGTGTAGAGTAAGGCTTGTCCAGTAGCTTCAGATTCTGTAAGGCCTGTCCAAATGCCTCATCTCTGCTGCCTGAGTTGTGTCTGTTCATGAACTATTTTAGGTGGCAATGGGACAGGAAGCTGAGTAGGATGGAGCTCTTACCTCTCTTTTTACCTCCTCCCTGGCAGAGTGCCGTGACCTGCTTGTTGTGGCCCACAGAGAATGTCATTGTCTTTGGTCTTGCTGAAGGAAAGGTAGAGAAACTTGTAATTTGCGTGCCTTTCTTTCCCTTGCTGGGTCTGCCAGGGTCTGCAAGTGGTTGGGCTGTGGGGTGAGAGGCATCACTGGATGCCACAGTAACAGCAAACAGAGGGATTACGCCGTGGACTTGAATTTTCTGATTCCCAATTAGTCCCTGGAGAATYTGTCGGGTCGGTCATGTGGATCTTTCCCCAAACGTTTCTAGAAAACTGGAAATGCGACTCCAACTTTTCCACTTCTACAACCTGCTGGTCATGGTCTGGAAAACCCCTGGGAATGTTATTTACACTGGGGGAGATCCACGTTCTGCAGACAAAAGCAACGTT